GAGAGATATGTTTTTAGATCTCGCATTTCAAATCCTCCTTCGTTTTTTCTTGTAATTTGTAATACATAATAATACAGAATTACATATAGGAATATGATCCAATGTTTTTTTTTCTTAATAAAACCACTTGGATTTCTCGGGGGAAGTCCGAATCCAATTTGAATTGTACAACAATGAATTAGATCTTTTTTTATAGAGTACTATTTTTATATTCTTAATTTTATTTATTCAAATTGTTATCTTCTAATAACTATATTATTATATATTTTTTGAAATTATGAATTCTATGAAATATTAAAATAATATTTGAAATTATTCTATTTTTCATATATCAATTCTATTTTCTATATTATTTGTATATTCTTTGTTCTTGTTATTATACTTTTTCTATCTTATTATTTATAGATTCTATATATTCTCTGTTTTTCATTAATTGAATATAAATATTCTATAAGAATATTTGATTCGATATCTTATTTCTACGATCGATATAAGAAAGTAAAAAAACAAACAAAATGGCAGGATATAGATAATGGAAAAATGTGGAAAATAAGACAAAAATTCTTTAGAATGACAATGGAAACTGATGTAAAGGGATGTAGCGCAGCGTGGTAGCGCGTTTGTTTTGGGTACAAAATGTCACAGGTTCAAATCCTGTCATCCCTATCCCTAATATCATATCAGCAGTAACAAGAGATCAATTTTGAGCAATTGAAATTGTACATACATACTCAATATGAATAGTTCTCCATATTTAGTTTGTATGCATGCATGCAAGATATATTGCCATCACATCAAATTATTTAGGAAAAGAAAGCGCTCTTAGTTCAGTTCGGTAGAACGCGGGTCTCCAAAACCCGATGTCGTAGGTTCAAATCCTACAGAGCGTGATACCATTCTTCTGAGAATGAGACTAAAATAATGGGATAACAGTCTAAGTCTAATCAAAAGTGTTAATTTGATCTCCTGTGAATTAGGATTCAAACAAAAAAATAGGAAGTCAATAAACAAAAGAGACAGTACTAAATCAAATATCCAACTGATCGCCACGTCGGTATTGTAAATAGGCCGTTACAAATAATCCAGCCAAAGTAATAGGAATTAGACCTAACACGATTCCAAATAGAAAAACTTCAATCATTTGAGTTTGGTTGAAAGTAAAAAAGGTGGGGGTAATATCGATCCTTAAATATGAATTTATATTGACCATGAATCTCAATGACCAAGAATTGGAAATATGATAAGGAACTATAGAATATCTACAATTTCCAAATTTCTCTCAAAATTGCAAATCAAATAAGTCGTATCTTATTCAGACTGATAAAAATACCTGCGGTTATAGTTAAAACCGCTAGTAGAAAACCGAAATAACTGGTTAGAGTGGACATAAGGAAACTAGATGAAATATATTCTTTTTATACATATGTTTATAAAGCACTTTCCTAAGTTTCCATTTTTTTTTTTTTAGATAAAAATAGGAAAAGAAGCAAAAAAGACCACTTGAAAGATACAATGGAAAAGAATTGATTCATGAATCAATTATTACGGACAAACAAAAAGAAAAATATAGTTACATAGGTAAAAAATCAATTCATCATCTGTGACATCTACCCAACCTGTGATTCCAAATCAACAGATTTCTTGATCAACTCATGACATGAGTTGAGTAAACTAATCGAAGGAAAATTGTTTTATTTATTTATATAATTATATATAATATAACGTATATATATAATATAAATAATATAAAGTCCATATATATAGTCTTAAACTTTGAGGAATTTTCGATTCAGTACATCGAAACAAACAACCAGGAAAAAAAGAAATTTTCTTTTGTAGTACTCGATCTCGTCACTTATTGTGAAATTTCGTTGCTGTGTTAGAAGAAGGATAGCTATACTGATTTGGTATACTGGAACGAGACCCTTGGTACACGATTGACGATCGTAACAAAGATTGAAAATTTCAGTAAATTTCTACTTACTGATCTGATCTTTTATGGAATCGATCCCCCTTTGACTGTATAAGAATATGTGGAGCTCGGCATGTCTGGAAGCACAGGAGAACGTTCTTTTGCTGATATTATTACCAGTATTCGATACTGGATTATTCATAGCATTACTATACCCTCCCTATTCATTGCGGGTTGGTTATTTGTCAGCACGGGTTTAGCTTACGATGTATTTGGAAGCCCCCGTCCAAACGAGTATTTTACAGAAAGCCGACAAGGAATTCCTTTAATAACCGGCCGTTTTGATTCTTTGGAACAACTCGATGAATTTAGTAGATCTTTTTAGGAGGCTCCAATGACCATAGATAGGACCTATCCCATTTTTACAGTACGATGGTTGGCTGTTCACGGACTAGCGGTACCTACCGTTTCTTTTTTGGGATCAATATCAGCAATGCAGTTCATCCAACGATAAACCTAATCCGAATTATAGAGCTACGACACAATCAAACCCAAATGAACAAAATGTTGAATTGAATCGTACCAGTCTATACTGGGGTTTATTACTCATTTTTGTACTTGCTGTTTTATTTTCAAATTATTTTTTCAATTAATTGAAGAAAAGAGAATAGTATTTATATATTAGGAATTCTCTTATCCCATTCGGAAGGATATCATTTCATAATTATCTATGACTGTTTAGGTCTCTAGTATGACTGACTACTTGATCAAATGTGGAGGAAAGTGGGATAAATGGCCGATACTACTGGAAGAATTCCTCTTTGGATAATAGGTACTGTAGCTGGTATTGTTGTGATCGGTTTAATTGGTATTTTCTTTTATGGTTCATATTCCGGATTGGGATCATCCCTGTAATAATCGGATAAATTTAGTTTTCGAAATGAAAGCATAAGAACTCAACGGGGATCCACTCTTTCTTTGATGAATTCGAAGGGGTCCCGTTGAGTTCTTCATAATCAGAATATTTTTGTCAGTGAGTCAATAGATAACTTTATTGTATGTTTCAAAAAATTCCATTTCCTTTTTTTAGGATCTTCCCTGTAAGAATAGGGAACTATATACTATATTTAATACTCTATTAAACATAAAAAAGATTCTGTAGAACCAAACCTTTTTGATACTAACAGAATCTTACTAGAAATCTATTTCTAATATAGACTCATGATTAAATTCTTTTTTTGAAGTGAATTAAGAAAGTTGTATTTGCTGAATTCAATTCCCGGTCTTTTTTGTTTGTCCATTCCTTAACTACGTATCGATTTCGACATAAACAAGAAGGAATTGGACTCTAGGAAAAGACAAATTATCCATCCTAGAATCCTGTTTTCCCTTTTTCTACTTTACTTAATATTATCTACCTACCTATTTTTTTAGGTTTAGTATCGAGTCGAATTTCATTCTATTACAATATAAATTCTAATATTTCTATTCTAGGACATGAAAATGTGAAAACAGCGACATAATCAGCGACATAATCATATGGTTCGAATTAATTGTGCAGTTGAAAAAAAACCAAGAACCAAAGGTCTTTACACAGAATTTATCAACAAAAATGGAGTTCTTTTTACCAGCTTAATATGTTGATAAATTGACATTCCTAAAAATTCATTTCAGACAATTGCACCTTCTCAAATTGTTTCTTTTTAAGAACCAAAAAAATTTGTGCCAAAATAATAGATGCCAAGAAGAGCAAGAGACCTTGGACACGTAACGGATCTTGAAGCACTATTTCTGCATCCCCCTGACCAAATCCACCCACATTAGGATTACTCGTTAATGGTTGATCAAGTTTGATAGATTCACCCTCTGAAACAAGAAGTTCTGGTCCTGGCGGTATAATATCAATCACTTCACGTCCATCTGATGCATCTACTATCGTTATTTCGTATCCACCTTTTTCTTTTCGTATTATTTTGTTTACTACACCCGTTGCTGTAGCATTATAAACATTATTATTACTCTTGCTTCCGTCGGGATAAATCTGACCCCTTCCCCTGTTCCCGCCTACGTATATAGGATATTTTAAGAAGTAAACATCTCTCTTAGTAGCGGGATCTGGAGAAAGAATAGGAAAGGTAATTTCACTATATTTTTTTCCAGGAACGGGGCCTATCACAAGAATATTTTTTTTTGTGGGACGATAGCTTTGAAAAGACAAATTACCTATCTTTTCTTTAATCTCGGGCGAAAGACGATCAGGAGGGGCCAATTCAAAACCCTCTGGTAAAATAAGAACAGCTCCCACATTCAAAGCCCCCTTTTTACCATTAGCAAGAACTTGTTTCACTTGCATATCATAAGGAATTCGAACAACTGCTTCAAATACTGTATCGGGAAGTATCGCTTGTGGAACCTCAATATCTACGGGCTTATTAGCTAAATGGCAATTAGCACATACAATCCGGCCGGTAGCTTCTCGAGGATTTTCATAACCTTGTTGGGCAAAAATAGGATATGCATTTGAAATGGGTGCTCGAGTTATTATATATATCATGAGCAATACGGAAATGGATCGGGTAATCTCTTTCTTTATCCAAGAAAAAGCATTTCTAGTTTGCATGGTCCAATCATTGATCCTGAAAATTTCTACAATAAGATTAGGTAGGTTACTGGCACAGTTCCCTATCCATGATTCTGCTATTTACTCCAATTCTTTTCCTATAATATAGGAAGAATACGAGTAAAACGAAAACGAATAAGTTCAATTTTAAATGTTTAGCTTTTCTATACAAAAAACAAATTTTAGAATTGGATCAGTGGGTCGTTTTTTCATTCCTTCATTGAATGATAAATGACTACAAGCGACGGAGATACACGATTTAAATAACGGAAAATAGAATATTTAAAAATAGTATCTAAAATGACTGGAAAAATCGAAACAAGACAAGATAGAATCTGATCATTCGGAGTAAATCCAAAATCTTTATAGACAGACCCAATCATTAGTTCCCAACCCTGAGTCGAATGGAATCCTATACAAAAATCAGTTAATAAAAGAATAGAAAAAGCTTTTATTGTGTCACTTAAGTTATATAGAAATTCTTGAACCCAAGAGTTAAGAATAATGAGTTCTTGATTACCTCGAATAGAATAACCACTTAGAATAAGGAAACAGATTATATTTGTACAGAAATGGAAAATCGTATGGATACGATCTAGGTTGTTCGTCTCGATCAATTGGATGGTCTCTTTGTAGATTTCGATACGAAGGTTTTGTAAACGTGTTTCCGGGTATTCCTTTAGCATTTCATCCAAGAGGAACAGTTCCTCGAACTCTAGCAATTTCTTTAAAATACTTTTTTCTTGAATAGTATTCAAGACAATTTCGGATTCTTTCATATTCCACCAATTAGTAATCCAAGATTCCAGACTTTTCTGAAATGTAAAAGAGATGCACCAGGGCAAAAAGACTATAGATGTAAGACATAGAAGGGGAATGCATGCTTTCTTTTTTGCCATTTTTCGTCTTTAATGAACTCAGTTTCATCTCATTTTTCAACTATATATAATAATAATCTTTCTATCAAGCATAAGTTCTATTACAAGTAAATACAAGTAATAGAGCTTAGCCTAGAATATATCAATTTATAATTTTTTCATAGAAATTGAGAAGCTATTCTTTTTATTTGTAATTCGGGTTAGTTTCTTTTTCCTTCAATTTGAAAAAAGAATCCAAAAGAATACAGAAATCAAATAAGAAAACGAAATAAGCCATTGCCAATTTGAATGAAGAAGAAAAAAAGTGTTTCAAAAGCTATGAATTAAAAATGAAATTGTTTGGATACAGCGATTTCCATTGGTATACTCAAGAATATGGAACGATTTCCATTGGTACACTCAAGAATCTGGACAAGTCCCAAGCTTTTTGTATAACGTTGCATGGAGTCCTATCATCAACAGGAGTCAAGGGAATGGTCCCCTGTTCTCTGGTTTGCATATAAAGGACACCACTACTAGGTTCTGGGTTAGCTTGTAGTATGAGGGACTGAATATCTTCCATACGAACTCGGAGAAAAATACGACGATATGTTCCAGGAAATCCGTAACGAAAAAAACATACCATTCGATTTTTTTTATCGAAAAAATTATAGCCACTCCCCACATTCCAAAAAATTAGAAGCCACCAATGTAAACTTAGAAAGAGACCGGCAATTCCATAGAAAGTCAGCGTGACTCCTTGTGTCAAAAAAGGAATGACAAATTCGGACGAAATGAAAGAGAAAAAATCCCTCCCATAATAACTGGAAACTGAAATATATAAAACTCCTAATGAACCTAAAAGAGTGAAAGACGCCCAGAATAAATTGATAATTTTTCGGGACCCCGGTACAATGTCAAGCCATGCGTCTTGTGAACGACAACCAAGTTTTTCTGACCCCCAACTAATGAATTTTGGAACATGAACCAATAAAGCAGACATTACAATTAATACAAGGCCCACTAAAAACACATAAACGTTTATCATAAAATGGGTGCCTCAATTTCATATTTGTACCTGTTCTTTTTTCTTGATTGTTAGATTAATATTTATGTTGTTATATGAAAACCTCCTTATCTTATTAAGGCTTATATAATATTAGTACTTTTCTTTTTTTTTTATTGAAGGCAATAGTTATTCAAAAATGGAACAAAAGAACAAATCCAAACTAAAAAATTTAACCCTATTTTCAAAAATATATGAAACTTGTGGTATCTAAAAAATATTGTTTTTTTGAACATGAAGAAATAAAGAAACCATTGCAACTGCCGGAAATACTAGGCCTACTAAAGGAACAAAAAGGGATGGTAAGTTTATCATAAAATGGGGTACCTCAATTTCATATTTGTACCTGTTCTTTTTTGTTGATTGTTAGATTAATATTTGGATTCTTCTTATATTGGAATAAAGAAAGTCTATAATCACTAGAATTCATATAGACTTATACTAAGTCTATTTTTTTAATTCTACTATGTAGAGCTAAATAAATAGATATGAATATATATATATATTCTATATGGAGTATATAAAGAGAATAAACCCATAAGAAAAAAATGGAATAAGATTTATTAAGAATCAAAATCGTTAATTTTAATAATTTGAATATTAAATTAAATATAAGGAATGTCGAACGAAATAACTGGATTTATTTTGCTGTCTATTTCTACAAGAAATATGTCCATGATAATTAATCTTTATTTTTTATTCTTATCTTATTACTTTACTCTTGTGTGTTCTCATTTTCTTTTTATATCATTTTTATATAATAAGAAGATTTCTTTATGATATTCATTTTATGATATTAATGAAAAGTTAAAAATTGAAAAACATAAATAAAATGATAGTCTGCATTAGTTTTCATTTTCAATCCAAGGAAAGCAACCATGGAATTCAAATAACTCACTTAAAAAGTCCTTTAAAGAATCACGTGATACGATTGCATCCAATAAGCCTTTTTCGAAAAAAACTTCAGCCGATTGGGAACCTTCAGGCACTTCCTTATTCAACGTTTGTTCAATTACTCTTTTACCCGCAAATGCAAGGTAAGCTTTTGGTTCGGCAATAATGATATCCCCCAACATCCCAAAACTAGCTGTTACCCCACCAGTAGTAGGCGATGTAAGTATCGCTACATAGAGTAACTTTTGATTGATTTGATAATTATATAAAGCAGAAGATATTTTAGCCATTTGCATTAAGCTCAAACTTCCTTCTTGCATACGCGCTCCTCCGGACGCACATACTATAATAAGAGGTAAAAGTTGATTGGTAGCATATTCGATCAACCGAGTTATTTTCTCACCCACTACGGATCCCATACTACCCCCCAGAAACTGAAAATCCATAATACCTATTGCTACAGGAATACCATTTAGTTGACCTGTGCCTGTTTGAACCGCCTCCAGTAATCCTGTACTTTCTTGATAAAAATCAAGACGATCTATATAAGGTTCGTCTTCCGTAGAAGAGTCGTATTCGTCTTCCGTAGAAGGTTCGTCTTCCGGAGAAGATTCGTCTTCCGGAGAAGATTCGTCTTCCGGAGAAGATTCGTCTTCCGGAGAAGATTCGTCTTCCGTATAAGGTTTGTCTTCCGTCGAAGGTTCGTTAGAAGGTTTGTCTTCCGTCGAAGGTTCGTTAGAAGGTTTGTCTTCCGTCGAAGGTTCGTTAGAAGGTTTGTCTTCCGTAGAAGGTTCGTTAGAAGGTTTGTCTTCCGTAGAAGATTCGTATTCGTCTTCCGTAGAAGAGTCGTATTCGTCTTCCGTAGAAGGTTCGTCTTCCGTATAAGGTTTGTCCCATTCAATGGGATCCAGAGAAAACATGTCTTCATCCATAGGATTCCAAGTACCTGGATCAATCGAAAGTTCGATTCTATCTGAACTGCTCATTTTCAAATGATCTCCACAGTGTTCGCAAATATTCATTTTGGATTTAAAAAATTTCTTATAATTTAATCCAAAGCAACTTTCGCATTCAACCCATAAATGCTTAAATTTTTCAGTATAAGAAGTATCTTTTGGATCATCAGGATATTGTATTGGAGTAAATTTACTATTATTTGTATCATTAGAATATTCTATTGGAGTAAAATCACTATCATTTGTATCATTAGAATATTTCATACAAATCACTATCATTTGTATCATCTAAAATGTAACTATTCAAGTCACTGATATTGGCATTGTAGTTGTCACTATCATCTAAATAACGAAGATAACTCTCAATCCAACTATGAATGTCATTATCCATATCAGTTAAAATAGATGGGTCATCAGTTAAAATAGATGAGTCATCAGTTAAAATAGATGGGTCATCAGTTAAAATATATGGGTCATCAGTTAAAATAGATGGGTCTTCATTTACACCGTTATTTTCAATAGGATAAAAACTATCTTCAATAGGATCAAAACTATCTAGGGATTTACTTAAACCACACCTATATTCTAAATCCCTATTAAACAGCAACATTGGATTGAACCACTTTAAAATACAATAGATGAATAGTCATTCGATGATCATTTTTTATCGACTTAAGTATAGAAATAGAATTGCGAGGATTAATAACTTATAATAATAATGAGCGAAGAAGTATTGAACAAATGTATCATTTATATTTGAATATCAAATCAATAACTATTTCTAATATAAAAATGAATGAATAGAATAAAAACAAAGAAGTAAAAAGGCTCATTTGGTCTACGGTATTTATGCACCAAACACCAAATTAGTTTATTTCTTGACTTTTTCCTAATATGAGGTAGGTTGAGCACCGAATTTTGGAATAAATAGATCACTCAAATCGAAAAATCGAGGATCCCTATTTCTAGATACTAGAAACTAGATAGTATAAAGAAAATAGGGCATGTAAGACTCCGCAGCTAATATAGTCACGTTTTTCAAGTCCCACGCTGCTTTTTACTACATCGTTTCAAACGAGGTTTTACCATAACATTATTTTTTAGTTTCAATCTGGTATGTAATTGATTCCATTTTGAAATCGTGCATAGTCATTGACTCAATCAATAGATAATAATATATACTTTTCACTTCTAGGTTTTAGGTTTTCTGACTATACAATTTTATTTCTAAAGTCAAGAAGTCGAAATTAAGTCAATATTCTATTTTCATGGTTTGTAAATTAAATATAAAAAAATCAATTTCTAAAAAAAAAAAAAGGAATCTTTATTCGGATATACAATTTGTATTGAAATAGGTATATATCTTGAATAGATATGATCTGGGACGGAAGGATTCGAACCTCCGAATAACGGGATCAAAACCCGCTGCCTTACCGCTTGGCCACGCCCCATTTTGATTCGACATAAATAGTATTATGAGTTGTTCGTAAATTACACTTCGAAATTTATTCTATAGAATAAATTGTTGCTAGAATTTTGATATGTATCGATATCGAATTAAACGAAATTTATTGATCATTCCATAGAATTCAATTAAGATATTGTTTGAACTTATTCAGTTCAAATCAAAAAAAGTGGGGGTCTGATCTTAGTTGATTCATCTTTTTTTTTCGTTTTATTACTGATTTAGTAATCTTCATATCTATAAATAGGAATTCAATATTTTATATTCTATCCTTTTAGATTTTCAAATTATTCATTTTCTATTCTATATATTCTCTATTCTATCTAAATAAAATCAAAAAATTTTGATTTTATATTTCATTGTTAATATAAAAGTATAATACAAAAATGGATAATAATAATAATAAATTATATAATAAATCATATCATATATAGAATAAATCATATCATATATAGAATAAATCATCTATATAATAATAAAAAAAATACAATCAAAATTAGAATTAAAAACAAAAGAAAAAAGACAATTCATTTTCTTAAAGAAAAACATTTTTGTTATGCTTAATATCTTTAGCTCGGTCTGTATTTGTATTCACTCTGCCCTTTATTCAAGTAGTTTTTTCTTGGGGAAATTACCAGAAGCTTACGCTTTTTTGAATCCA